TGGGATTAGAGGAGGTCGGAACATGTGGCCTCCTTGCCGTTTTTGCACTTCCCTAATAAATTCTGTAACAGTGAGTATTGTCTGTGAATTCTGTGTGGCCATTGCAATGAATTATTGAACTTAGCAGGGAAGTAGAGAGTGCTGTGGGAGGGATGGATGGTGTCAGAGTTGGTATAAAGGCTGAAGGGTGGTGGCATGTCTGGCCTCACAGGAACAAGCTTTAGACTGCTGATAGTGATTCTGTCTTCCTCTTGTGAAGTTAGAGGAGGTCAATGGAGGAAGATGCCACCTCCTTGTCCTTTTTGCAAGAAGCCTGAAAGGCTGAAGATGAGACAAACTTGCAGTACCTGATCAAATTAGATGGATACCTGCAGCAGACCTGAATGGCTGGTATCTGAGCAACCTCACCCTTAGGATTCTTTGCCCTACTGATAGACTAATTGCTAATGACCTTGGGACTGGTAAAATGATTGGGAAGGACAAGTTAATCGTTCAAGTGTGAAAGGGCCAATGGCTAGAAAAGCCAGGGTGTTGCCTGCAGTGTAGTGAATTGCTTAATATAGCCTTTCTAGCCACTGCCCTCCATTTTGTGATGTATCATAAATCCTGGTCTCTATGGTGCTTAGGGTGGGACGTACCTTGCTGGAGGGTGTGGCTCAATTCACTACCCTTAATTTCGTTGGGAGTATATATGTAAATGTTCTGGGAAAATTTATTCTCTTACTCCAGGTTTGTCTGGTTTGTCATCTCACCCCTGGACTTGAGACAGCAGTTGGTCATCTGACCCCACTGATGTGGGTTCACCAGCTCCTGAGAGTTGGGAGAATCTTCCAGACCTACCCACAGACTTGGGCCTTGCCAGCATGCCAGACTCCTAGATGCCACCACCACGTGAGCCCTTTCCTCGAAGTCTGTGAGTTCTAGGAGACGTTACAGTGAAATACAGAAGCCCAAGGCAGGAAGTAGACTACTGATCTTCTGGTTTTCAGCTGAGCGCTTAACCACTGAGCCACTAAGGCTCCTACGTGACTAATAGAATTAATCAACCTCTTTTGGATGCATCATGACTTCCTACATATGCTGAATTAGTTGGTGATGAGATCATGGGGTTGTCCTGAGCAACCTGCCCTGTGAAAGAGTAGGGGTCTCTCCTTAGATAGTGTGTGCGTTTAGAGGGGGAAAGATCATGTGGAAACTGATGCCCACTGTGTCAAAATTAACATGGTAGAAGATGAAAGTGAAGTTCATCAAGATCAATGAAAGAGAGAGTAAGATCTTGTGAGGTTCTTGCTTTGCCCTAAAGGACAGAGATATAGTCCCTGTGTAGGACTTGGGGTTCAAAGAGAGGATCTCTCTGCCCCGTCTTCAGTTGACTGCTGAGTAACAGTCTCAGATGATCCAACTTACTCTCCTGTTACACACACTCCTGAAATTCAGAATAGCAGAACTGACAAAATGGCTGAAGGCTTGAACAGACACAAAGTGTTTGAGACAGGCCCCTACAATTCTTGGGGCCCAAAATGCAATAGAAGAGCAGTGAATGTTTTCCCATCCCCAAGGTCTCCAAAATATGGAATGAGAACAGAACCTGGGTTCATCCTGGGGGCAGGACTATGGAGACCTCACTCTGAGCTGCGGAACTGAGAACGGAGGATCAGATGGAATCAAGGCCAGAAGCAGAAACCAAGGAGCAAAAGGACTCCCACCCTATCCCTCTCCCAACCATGGCACTAAAGAGCTCACAGGGGCCACATCATAGCCTACTGAGGGTCACAAGAGACACTTTGCCTTCATCTCTCCTTGAGCTGGAGCACCTCTGGAGTAGAATGTTACACATCTGAAGAACACAGTGGTAAGAGGGAAGGTAGAAAACTCCCTCTGAGAGCTCTTAAGAAACAAACTTTTGCCTTCCTTCAGCTCTTTGCCATCTGAGGAGTTTCTCAAAGATTATAGTCAACGGATCTGCTTCCTCTCTGCCCATCTGAGCTCTTACCTGTGTTCACACCTTTGATGCATTCCTACCCACCTTTTTTCCCCCCTATTTTCATTCCACAGCCCAGAACTTTCCCTTGTTCCAAAATGGAGCTAATATTCAGTTCAGAACAAGACTCTTGATTACAAGAAAAAAGGAACATGGTGTGCTGTGGCTTTTCCAGATAGAATCCAAGCCCTTGGTTCAGATGGGAAGAAAGGACATTACAGCAGGTTCTAGAGAAATATTTCACAAATTTGTCCATGGACTGCCTCCTTCTAAATGCCTAAGTAGCTATCTGGCTATTTTCTAAGACCTATGGAATCAAAGCACAGGTATAAAACAAGACACTTTGTTGTTGTTGTTGTTATGTGCCGTCGAGTCGGCCCCGACTCATAGCGACCCCTCCTTGGGTTTCCGAGGCAGTATCACTTCGGAAGTAGGATTGCCCAACCTTCCTTCCGAGGAGTGGCTGGTGGGTTTGAACCGCCAGCCGTCTGGTTAGCAGGCAAGTGACTTAGCCACTATGCTACCAGAGCTCCCAAACAAGACACTAGATATTCTAAATGTCTGCTACAGGGTTTTGTGGGTGCTCAAGTTCTGGAAGCACCAATGAAACAGCATGAGGAGGGGAGATCATCTGAGGAGAGGGGAAGGCTCCTTTTGAGGAGAGGGGAAAGTTCCATCTGAGGAGAGGGGAAGGCTCCATCTGAGGAGAGGGGATGTTTCCATCTGAGGAGAGGGGATGGTTCCATCTGAGGAGAGGGGATGGTTCCATCTGAGGAAAGGGGAAGGCTCCACCTGAGGAGAGGGGAAGGCCTAGGAAGCTTTGCATTTCTCAATCAACTTCAGCCTCTCTGTTAAGGGCCGGGATCTGACACTCAGGCAAAGCAGAGGGTTCCAAGAGACTCCCTCACGAAAATGCCAAGATATACAAGGGTAGAGCCTGACTTCTGGAGGGAAGTTGTGCTCACCGAGCGAGACCAGGTTCCTGTAGTTCTCCAACATCACGTCCCTGTACAGAGCCCTCTGAGCAGGGTCCAGGCACGCCCACTCCTCCTGGGAGAACTCTACGGCCACATCCCTGAATGTCAGTAGTCCCTGCAATGAAAAACACATCTCACCAAGTAGATAAGGTACGAGTTCAAATATTCACGCAAAATGAGGACAGAGCTATAATGATTGATTCAATTGATGTGAAAGTTCTGAGAGAGCCACTTAAGAAAATTCTGAGCAAGTTGTTGTTGTTGTTGTTGTTGTCAAGTGCTGTCAAGTCGTTTCCAACTCATAGCGACCCCACGCACAGCAGAACGAAACACTGCCCAATCCCGCGCCAGCCCCACAATCCCTGCTATACTTGAGCCCATCATCGCAGCCACCGTGTCAATCCATCTCGTTGAAGGCCTCCCCCTCTTTCGTCGACCCTCCACCCTACCAAGCATGACATCCTTCTCCAGGGAATGGTCCCTTCTGACAACATGACCAAAATAGGTGAGACGAAGTCTGGCCATTCTTGCTTCCAAGGAACATTCTGGCTGCACTTCCTCCAGGACAGATCTGTTAGTTCTTTTAGCAGTCCATGGTACTTTCAGCATTCTTCACCAGCACCACAACTCAAAAACATCAACCCTTCTTCGGTCTTCCTTATTCATTGTCCAGCTCTCACATGCATACGAGGCGACTGGAATATGGCTTGTGTGAGGCACACCTTAGTCCTCAAGGAGATATCCTTGCCCCTCAGCACTTGAAACAGTTCCTTCGCAGTTGACTTTCCCAATGCTACACATTGTCTAATGTCCTGACTGCTGCTTCCATTGGCATCGATTGTAGAACCAAGCAATGTTTATTATACCTTTCCAAGAGATAGGAAATCCCCTAAATCATTTGTGGCAATAAAAGAAATACACAAACAGAAAAAATCCAAGACAGTGTCATCTATATAGACGTATTAGGTGTTACATTATGTACATCAAGTAATGTTGCGTTCCTCAGATCAGCCAGAGCAGGACTGGTGTCTGTAGGGATGACAGAATCCACTGGGGCTTTAAAGAGAGATCAGAATTGGGAAATCATGCTGATGCTGAGAACAGCAATGACTACAATTGTCTGAATACTTAATCATATGCTCAGCATTATGTTATATGCTTTATACGCATGAAGTCAGAGAATGACATAGTAACTCAACAGAGACTTTTTTCCCCCACCTTACACAGGCAACAACTGGGTCACAGACACTCTACTACACTCCAACAGCTAGTAAGGGACAGACCAAGCACCTAAACACAGGTGGTCAGGTTTTAGCATTGAATCAAAAAAAAAAAAAAAAGAGAAAAAGAACCTTAACAGTTAACAGGTGACAGGTTTCAGCACTGAACCAAAAAAAAGAACCTTAACAGTTAAGTAACAGATACAGCATTGAAAGTAGGTCGCAGACAATTTCCAGTTCAAGGCCAGTGACATGGAATTGGATAGGTCATTATATATGTAGACAGGAACTTGGGTGGCACAGTGCCTAAGGCATCTCACTGCTAACCAGAAGGGTGGCAGTTCAAATCCACCAGCCAGTCCTCAGAAGGAAGGTTGGGCAATCTACTTCCATAGTGATACTGCCTCAGAAACCCAAGAAGGGGTCACTACGAGTTGGATCCAACTCAATGGCAGTGGGTTTGGTGGTGTTTTTGTTTTTGTTTTTTTGTGTGTGGATATATGTACACACACACAAATACACAGAATTTACTTACTTATTTTTAAATTTTTATTGGGATTTGGGTGAAAGTTTACAGAGCAAATCCATCTTCCATACAGCAGTCTGTACACATTCTGTTTCCTGACATTGACTGTGATTCCCCACAACATAACAGCTCTCTTCCTGTTTTCTCCCTGTACTGACCTCTTCCCCGTGTCCTTCTTTCCTATGCATTCCTACCCCAAGCTTTCTCCCTGAGCAAACACTGCCCTTCTGTTCTCTCACAACTGATCACCCTAAGGAGTATATTTACCTGATATAAATGTTCACCCTATATGCAAGCCATGGGAGTGAGTTCAATTCCAGACCTGAAAGGTAACTACAGGGCATAGTCTCAGGGGTCTCACCAGGCTCAATCACACCAGTAAACCTGGTCTTTTTTATGATTTTGAGTTTTGTTCCACACTGTTCTCCCACTCTATCCACAATCTCCTGCACTGACCCCTTTCCGAGTGACTGACAGTGGTAGCCCGGCACCATCTAATTCTTCTGATCTCATGGTCATTATGAGCTGAGAATTGTATGGTTTATGAGCCTCTTGGACCAAGTGTTTCCATGCGTCTTTGGTTTTCTTCATTCTTCTCTGCTCTGGATGAGGAGAGACCCATTGCTACATCTAGATGGCTGTTTGTTACTATTCTTTCTACTACGGGATTGTATTAGTACCATTACTTTTACTACCTTTGTTAACCTTGTTAACCTTATGGTGTAGGCAAAAATTAAAGCCATGGGAAATATTCAACCATTAAGAAAATATAAAACTGATTTATGAAATGCTTGTGTGTATTTTAGAAAAACTTTGGGTTTGTAAATATTAGCAATGTGTACACACACACACCTATATACAACATATTTAAGTGAAACGAGTAGTTGTCACTGAATGATGTATGTTTTGGACAAGTTTTCATTACCTTTTATTTTTGCTCATTGTATGTGAGCATTTTTGGTGTAATGAAACTGTATAAATTATACTATTTTAATTACTTTATCATTACTACATATTAGGTTATTTATAATAAATACTATAGAAAAACAAAAAATATATTAAAAACTTTAACTCTGATCTCTGTTAAACACATATGCGGAAAAATATAATTGTACTCATTTAAGTATCTAGCCATTCACAAAAAAACAAATTTACTTCACTAAAAAAACAATGATTCAAGACTAGAAAAGTTATTAATTGTACACATTAATTTAATAAAGCACAATAAGAGATTTGGTAAGAAGGAGCTCCTTGAAGAAATTATTGACTGATAAAAATCATTCAGGGTAGGAAATGTGATAAACCAAACTGCTGTTCAGCAAGAAGGCTGACAAAGATGAAGATCAGCAAAAAGCACTGGAGGCATTTCCACCAATGGGGCCAGGGGCCTAGCCAGGGCTCCCACCATTTACCACAAGGGACCCTGGAGCCAGGAGAAGGGACGAGGGAAAAGGATGTGGACCTAGGGTAAGTCACAGATGATGTGCCTACATCCTAGAAAAAGAACTGACCTGAACTCATAAGAACTAATATGCTGAAAACACTTTTGTATCATTAGTAACAGTAATTAAGGAGTCCTGGTTGTGCAGTGGTTAAAGCACTCGGCTGAGAACCAGAAGGTCAGTGGGTCAACCCCACCAGCCACTCCGTGGATGAAAGACGTGGTTTACTTCCATAAAGATGACAGCCTTGGAAACCCTCTGACTCTGTCTCACAAGATCACTGAGTCAGAATCAACTTGATGGCAGTGGGGTTGGTATTGTTTTGGTTTTTCCATGTGCAGTTTATTTCAAGCTGGTCTACAGAGAGCTGACAGGACATGTAGATGTGGTCCTGAAACTGTCCCTGCCGTCCATCCTCACTGCCCCCATGAGGCCCACACCTGTCTCCCACCCAGCCCTATGATACCCCAAATGGAGCCTCTTCACAAGTCCCACGTCCCTGGGTCACGGGGAGGTAGACTCTGTGTGGAGGGGACAGGGGATGAGGGAAGGCCTAGGGAAGTGCGAGTTACTGTGTCAGGCAGGACCTGGCAGAGTCAGAGGAGACAGCACATTGTCAGGACAGCATTTCAGGGAGGAGAGAACAAAGCCACCAACCAAGAACATGACAGTTACCTGAGACAGAGCCATTTCGGACGCCTCTTTCCTTCCTCCTCCTCCTAGCTTCTTTCTCAGGCAAGACTAGTTAAGAAGTCAATCCTGAGTGAAGACAATGAGCTGTTAAATGGTTACAATCAACACATCCATGTCCATGCCACAGCCACACACACAAGGAAGACCTTTCCATGGGTGAAGATGGTTCCTGCTGTCTACTGCCCCAGGAGAGACTCAAGGACAGTGACCTCCTACATGGAGAGCAACAAGTGAGTGTACTGCCCTTCCCTCCTGGGGAAGCCCATACTCGGCTGCAGGAGGGGGATCTGGGCTGACCTGAGCTCCCCTTCAGGGCCCGGACACCATACCCCATGCAGAGCAGGGCCCCCAGCTCTGGTGGTGCAGCACTTAAGGCATTTGACTGCTAACCAGAGGGTTGGAAGTTCAAACCCATCAGCCACTCTGTGGGAGAAAAATGAGGCAATCTGCTTCTGTGAAGATTTACTGCTTCAGGAACCCAATGAGGGTCAATTTGATGGCAGTGTGTTTGGTTTTGGTTTTTGGTTCCCTACTCAGTTTCTGCTCCTCAACTGCTTCCCTGTTTCTGTCCTGCGGTGTCTCCCCTTCTCTCCAGTTCTCCTTCTCCACCTGTTCGGTCCACCTACGTCTTTCACTTCTTGCTCTTTCCCCTAATCTCTGCGTGTCCCCCATCTCTATCTCTGACGCCCCTCTGCCCTCTCTCCCCTGGGCAGTCAGCTCCTTGATTCCTTCACTCTGATGTCTGTGTCACCCCTTTCTGTCCCTGCACCAAGTGGCCCTGTCTCCCGTGACTCTTAACTCTTCCAGCCTCTCCCCTCACTGTCTGAAGGGGGCCCCGTATCCCACTCCTGTGGGTTAAGGGCTCCCCTTCTCTCTCCGCAGACGCCCCTTCTCGGCACATCTCCCCGCTCTCTCCTCCCGGCTGCTCTGGCTTCGTTCCCGCGCCACCTTTCCGCAGGCCCCTCCCCGGCCTCCAGTCGGCGTGGGGCCCGCGCTCCCTCCGCCATCTTTGCTCCGCTCGTGTTTCTAGTTTCCCCGCAGCTGCTCGGTCTCCGGACCCCCTCGTCCGCAGGGATGGGCTGGGCCGCGGGGTGGGACCGGGGACGGAAGGACGCGGGCCGTCACCGGGCGGACCCGGGTCCCTGCTCCCTGCGAATGGGTGGCCGGGGAACGGCAGGCCCCGGGCTGAGGACGACGCGAGGACGGGGTTTCGGGAGAGAAGGGGGGGTCTCCGGGACCCGGGGGAAGGCTGGGACTGCAGGGGCGGGACGCCGCGAGTCCACCCTCCAGCGCGGACCTGACGCGGCGCAGGGCGGCCGGGGTCAGGGGACAGTTACAGGCAGGAAAACAAGTCAGTAGGCGGCGTCCGCGCGGCCAGAGCGCAGAAAAGCCCCGGGGGACCCGCCTCGGCGCTATTTCACGTCCAAACGGATGCGGTTGCCCCGCCGGCGGCGGAGCGACCAGCGCTCGGAACGTCTCAGGGCCGGGATTTGTCAGGTGCGGGGACTGCTACATCTGGGGCTACCCGCTGTCTTAAACACGGACGACCAAGCGAAAGTTTTAAATCAGAAAAACGGAAATTTACCTCAGTTTGACCTTCGCTCTAGGTGATCTGCTTCCGCGGGTGCAGGGAACTGCGCAGGCGCGCGGCGGAGAAAGACGCAGCAGCGTTTGTTTGGGGGGGGGAAATGGGCGGGGGCAAACGTTAGGGGCGTGGTCAATGAATTTGAGAAGGCGGGGGCGGGACCTGTTAGGGCACTACTGAAAAGGGGCGGGGCCTGGTTGGGGCCCGCCCCTCCCATTACCAGGCCCCTCGGAGTTTCCTGATTGATTAGCCCTGACAGTCCACGATTCTACGCTTTTGAATTCATATTCATCTCTGTGGTGCTCGGTGCAGCGCCGCAGTCAACTCTCTGAGTTAATGTTTAAGAACAATTAAGTTAAAGATTAGACTGGTCTCCTGTAGGAAGCTGAGGCGTTTTCCTCTTAAACTGAAACCGTTGAAATCAATGGTCTTTATGCGGGCAGGTGGAAACATGGGGCTAGCGATGCAGGGCCTGCGACGAATCAGGGAGCTGGGACTTTGGTGGAGGGACAGGTGTGGGGCAGGAGTCGGATCCTGAGCGATTAGAAGCTCTTCTTCAACGAAACGCAGGAGCGGGAGTTGTCTGTGTAGGGGATCCAGAGGAGTAAGTGAAATGCCAAACTGGGCGGAAGCAGAAGGTACAACTCCGTTCTCACCCCACCGGAACATCCTATTTCTAGTCCTCATTCACCCGGAAGGCACAGTAGCCTCCCTGGGCTCAGTTCCGGTGCTTTGTAGGACAAAGCCCTGGGCTGGAGCAGTGGAGGGCTAACACATTAAAAGAACAGAAAGTGTTTCTTGGGGGCCCTCTACATTGATCCAGGTCCCCTCCCTGCCTAGCTCCCAGCACAGTCCTAGCCCAGCCCCCAGCCCCACCCCTCAGAGGCTCCGCCCCATCCAGGCCCCTCCCCTAAGTTCACTCCCCAGCCTGCAGGATCCCTGAGCAGTCCTGTCCACTGCCCCAGCCTCGCCCTGCACAGGCCACGCCTTTCCTCGGCCCTGGCCCACCATTTCATTTTCATTTTGGAAGTTGTCAAAAATGAAATGAAACACATAAAGATTGGTATCGTAGGCATTGAAAAAAAACCAATTGCTGTTGAGTCGCATCTGACTCATGGCGACCCCTCCTTGGGTTTCCGAGGCAGTATCACTACAGAAGTAGATTGCCCAACTTTCCTTCCAAGGAGTGGCTGGTGGGTTTGAACCACCAGCTTTCTGGTTAGCAGTCAAATGCCTTAGGCACTATGCTACCGGAGAGGCATTAGTGAACTGAAATGGACTGGATTTGGACATTTTGAATCAGACAACCATATGATCTCCTATGTCGAGAATGACAAATTAAGAGCAATGGCATGGCATTCATCATTACAAAGAATGTTTCAAGATCTATCCTGAAGTGCAATGCTGTCAGTGATAGAATAATATCCACATGCCTACAAGGAAGACCAGTTAATACTACGATTATTCAAATTTACATACCAACCACCAAAGCCAAAGATGAGGAAACTGAAGATTTTTACCAACTTCTGCGGTCTGAAATTGACTGAACATGTAATCAAGATGTGCTGATTATCATTGGTGACTGGAATGCAAAAGTTGAAAACAACAGTGGTTGGAAAATTTGGCCTTGGTGACAGAAATAACGCTGGAGATCGTATGATAGAATTCTGCAAGACCAAGGACGTATTCATTGCAAATACCTTCTTTCAACAACACAAACGGCAGCTATACATGTGGACTTCACCAGATGGAGTACACAGGAATCAGATTGACTACGTCTGTGGCAAGAAGCAATGGAAAAGCTCAATATCTTCAGCCAAAACCAGGCCAGGAGCTGACTGTGGAACAGACCATCAACTGCTCATATGCAAGTTCAACTTGAAGTTGAAGAC